GAATCGAACTCTCATGTTCAACGCCGCTCGAGCAACCAATTCCATCATCGCCATTTTGGTGGTCGGCGGGTCCAGGTAGTAGAGCCAAAACGAGATGATACTCGCCTGCTGATTCAACGATGGGGCTATCACACTCTTCGGCACCTGCAGTCCAATAATTTCGTGGCGCAGTGACCCTAACCCCATCGCCAACCTCAGAGATCTTAATGATGTGCTCTGAATGCAGTCGATGTAGGAGCATCTGGCACTCCTCTCGATCGATCATGCATCGCTCCGCTACACGAATAGTTTCCGACTTGTAACCCGTCGTTAGTAAATACTGATAAACCCGAGCTCCCACTACACCATACCTAAAGCCAACCAATCGACCATTATCATCATCATACCACATCTCCATGAACTTTACTTTTCGGTCAGTATCGCATGTGTCAACTCCTCAGTAAGCTTCGCCAGTACGTTCTTCCAATCAACTCGGTAGCTAGCCGGCCCACTAGCTGCCATCGCAGTAGCCGCTGCAGTTGCGGCGGCTTTTTTAGAAGTCTTCCGCTTCGCACCAGTACTCTGAGATAATGATCATAGACAAGAACTGGATCACAACTATAGCGATGTTGATAATAGTAGTACTCGCAAGGACTACGACAGCTACTCCAAAGGTCACCTCTATATTAGATGGATCACTCGCAAGCTGAAGTATGAAAATGCTATTCGGTTCAATTCGAAGTTGCTATGAGGTACCAACGGAAATGCTAAGGACGAACGACTCCGATTAAACGATTAAAAACCAGAGAAATCGAGGCAATGACCGCGCGCCACGAAATTCTCACCGCGGTAGCAGCAGCAGCAGCGGCGGTAGCAGCGTTAGTGCAGAGGACCAGAGCATCCTGATGCTTGCTGAAGACGTTGAGGTACTTGATTAACTCATCACGTTGTCGATTCATAGTGGCCGAGGCCGATGAGCCTATCATGAATATCTTAGGTTCAAGCGAGGAAGATACGGAAGAGGTTACCAATGCCGGAAGAAGCAGGAGAGGATGAAGGGGATGAGGAAGGCGACTCATGCCCACGAGTCATCCAATCTAGGAGATCGTCAACTTGAAAGGTATCTGAAAAAAAGATCAAAAAATCAAGAAAGATGAATCGCTTCGCTCCGCCTGACCAGTAGTGCAATCAATCAACTTCATATTGTCCATCAATCCCATTGGAGGCTTCACAGATTCATCCAACATCACCTAAATGATCAACAGCTCATGTTCAAAGACCCCGGTTCGATCCCCGGCCCCTCCACCTGAAATATCCTCCCCGCTGCTGGATTCATCCGCTTCCCGACATACTCCACTGCAAGCTGTTTAACCAGCATCATATCAAGAGCTACTTGGTTCGGCCGAAGGACCTGGAAAATCTACCACTCAACGACACATACTATTCGAAAACCACAGCATAGATGACAACAACAACCACTACCGACACCAGCGTGGAAAAACGCGCACATAATCAACTACATGTAATGGTGACAGTATAAAACTTCCCAGGAAATTCTCGGAAATTTTCGTAGATTTCTATACATTTCCATCAGAATTCGTATGCGAAACCTCCTGAGCTTAGCTGGCGAAAGCGAACACGTATTCCTCCAACACTGATCGAGACATTCACACTTCCACAACACTATTAAATATCGAGTTTTCTCTTATATAATTATTACTAGTCTCACACCATCTACACTACTGCATGGAATATCATCATTTACGGGCGAGCGAGATTAACACCATAATATACCCTCCTTACCCCGCCACCCTCAACCTGGACTGCATCGATCTTCTTCATCAACCTTCGGCTCCTACCACTCTGTTGTCGAGCCTCCCGGGCTTTAGCAACACCGCCGGTCGCCCCTCTTTTACGCGTACCCGCCTTAGCCTGAAAAAGACGCAGAATTACCTTCAAATTCTCAACCAATTCGCACGGCGTGAATGACGATCAACTACTAGTAATATCACCCTAGACAGGAAATAACACTAATGCCCGACTGTAATGACGGTCTTCCACTACTACCACCACTATTATACCTTAGCCGCTGTAGGCTTCCTCCTACTCCTCGCTGGTGCGGTAGCGGCGGCCTCGCCAGGTTGTTGTTCACCCGCTAGAAGAGCTAATTCTGGTGACATCATTAAAAGGTCATCCGCAGCTGTGATATCTGACAACATGAGGTCCATGCACCGAAGATACGAATGAGGTCCAGAAAGAGCAACAAGATACCAATGCCTTTAGCGCCGTTACACTCAACGAACACGAGTACAGCTTTCACTATAAACAACCATCACAACTCGAACGATCCGAGCGAACCAGATTATTATTCCGAGAGCCGCGACTAAAATCTGTTATTGTCTGTAACTTTTTTCCAGTGAGAGATAGCTCATTAGAAAGATCTCGGCGAGCGCTCCTCAGAACTATTTTCGAACTCCGAATATGCTTTGGCCCTGCCGAGCTACGCAAAACTGCTCAAAATCTATGCAAAAAAGTTCGAGCCGATAAACTTCCTCCTCATAAATCACCGCGGTATGGCATTGAGCATCACGAGCATATCTGGGATTTGAATATACCATTGAAAAGTGCCCTCCAAGATCTTCCTAGTGAACTATCTCTCACTGGGAAATCCGTTGAAATATGCAAGTGAAAGACAATAGCACATTCCATTCGGGGCACCCTGTATATGCAGTAGCAAAAACAAAGCAATATAATACTCGAAGGAATAGTAAATACTAAATAGTAAATACTAATACTAAATACAGCAAGAGCGTCTGCCATGGGGAAAGGATCAGTGGCTATTGCGACGAGCTACTTCATCACTACCTTCCTCAGCACCTCCACCTATATCGGGTATCATCGGACTTTCCTCTTCCGGGGACGATGCCGAAAACTCCGCTCCGTCGCTCCTTTCTGGTGTACCCGGCGGGGTTGCCATTTTCTGTTGCAGATCACCTCTCACACATGGCTCCACTCTATACAACACCTGCATCGACCACATGTACGTCCTCATACTAATAAAAGTGATCGTTGAAAAATTTTATTAAACATCGCCTTTTCCTCATGATTTTATTTGTAAAAATTCAGCATGAGCAGTGCTGTAAAATACACTGGCTTTCCTCAGCTGAGCTCAATAACTCCATCACCAATCGCAGGAGTTTATATACCAATTGGGAGAATATATACAAAAACTATCAAAATTTCCCCAGAGTTTCGATATTGTCACCAACACATGTGCAAATCTCACCACACTGAACGTATGAACCTACACTGCTTGTGACGAGCTCTATCAAAGCGGCCTCCACATCCGCTTTTACTTCTCTCATCGGCGGGGCATGCTCCCCAACATACTCTGAAACCGCGATACCCCCGACCCCCATCATCAACACTCACCTCGCCATCGCAATGCTGTGAATTCGATCAGATCATCCCAAGGAACCCTACCCCGTCTCAGCACCTGCCCACCGTTTAAATCTCGCTCGCCCGAAAATATCCTACCTCTGCCATGACATGAACAGCTACTGGCCGGCGACGACCCAGCTGTTGTTGGACGAGATTCATGTATCTGGGGTATCGTAGACGAGCTATGACGGCACTGGGTGATGCACTATATAACACCTAAAATACCGCAACCAGGGATCGAACCGACGACCTTCCGCATGGGATACGTACCAAATGCTGCGGTGGAGCCCCAGCTTTCTCTTGGCTTGGCACTTGAACTTGACGGACCATGTGAGACACTGCTATATTGTTCTGCAGTAGAATCATCAGCGCGTCACGGATGCACGACCAAGTCATTCTATCTGTAAATAAAAGCAACCTGCTATAATTGAACCAGGGACCATTCGGAAGAAAGTGCCGAAGACTCCCCACCACACCAAATTCTCACTTGTAATTTCGTGCATTGAATGAGGAACCTTCGCATCCGTGCGCAAGTCCAATGGCCAACTCAGTTCCTCGTTGACATATTTACTCAACTCCGGGAACCTAAGCATACCACTCCATCCCCAAAACCCAGGAATTCTATACTTATGATCAGATCAATCCTGATCTACATATGATCTCTCTCGCTTGTACAACTCCATCACACGGACGAGGCCATTGACCACAAATCCGTGTTTAGCACAGTTCGCCTACCTCATAGGTCCTCTCGAGAGAAGGCAGCTAGCAACTGCCGATACAGCGGGTCCGAACTGATCAGTGATTATATCGCAACAGAGCTTGTGAACGGCCGCTTGTGGGGCTTCAATCGCCGGAGCGTTGAAGGGGGGTGGCCGAGACGTAGGGGCAGAGGACGAACCAACCATTGCCAAACACTAAAATACCCTCATTGGGAATCGAACCCGGGTCCTCATAAAACACAAGTCACCAGATTCTTCAAAAATGTGCGCGGATATCCCACGGACTATGATAATCAAATACGACTATTACTGCACTCTTTTTTCGAGCATCAAATTTACACAAGTGTCCAACACTCACTCGAGAATGTCCAGATTCGCCATGATCTCGGTGAAATACTCAGGGTAGTGGTCGTGCCGTTCGACCAACTTTCCCAGGTCTATATTCTCCACACCAGAGATGCCCCGAGCAGCGCTCAGCCCCGCCACTTTAACTCCCCATTCCATATACCGATACAGGAATCCTAATACCCAATCACTGCTAGTGTAGCCGTTGATGAACCTTCCTGCTACAACAGCGCGCGCCCTAAAATAGTCTTCCGCACTAACGAATAATAATATTGTTTCTCACCTGCGCCATGATTTTTTATGGTCAGATCCTACGGCAGGCGCGTCGAAAGTCACGGCTATCGGAGCGCCGAGCAGAACAACGTTTTGAACGACATTGAAGTACCCCTTGCTGTACCTACATTAACGATAAGCAGCATCCTAGTGTTAGAAAATATGCATTAGTAGTCATATGTCATATGTCATGTGCATATGCGTAGTCAAGTACGTTTGTTGGCGATGATATGAAAATTCCGATATGAAACTCTGAGGAAATTTAGGGAGATTCTTCTATGTTTTCGCACATCTCCACCCGAATTCACGTGCAAACTTATATGATCGATGACTTCATTCCTGAGCTCAGCTGAGTCAACAAAACAGAAAGAGGTCCAATGCCACCATCGACCCATCCTGATTCCTAGTCACTTACAAAATCTCTAAACATTTGAATATGACGCGCGCACCGTTGCTGATGCCGACTAAGGTGACCGGCCGGTTCCCCACGCAATTTGAATCCATTATGGCGGAAGCCAAGACCTCTCCTGCTACTGATGATCGATCCCGCACAACCTAAATGGAAAAAAAGTACCCTCGCTGGGGATCGAACCAGGGACCTCTCACTTACCAGCCATGTGTTATCCAAGTCTGTCATGTATTTGATTATCCATACCGGGAACATTGCCGTTGCCGCTGCCGCCCCAATGGTCGCCTGCAACCACATACTGGCCGCTTGCTTGGCAATCTCGTCGGTGATGAGACGACGGAGGACCTTTCAAGAGGAACACAAGTAAGAACAGGCATGATGCTCATAGACACTTTAGCTCGATGAAACTCTATTAATACTAAATCATCGATATCACCAAATGTCACACGTCAGAATAGAACTCACGACCTAGCGATACCCAACTTGAGGCATAACCATTACACCATTTCGTCCACCAATCCACCTCTCAAAGCTTCCCCCCTAAACCTACACTTCCGAGTCTGAGCAACTCATGGCTCTCCCAGTTCACTGCGTACACTTCACTCTGTCTGGTAGGGAGCCCATCAAGTCGATTCAGACTAGGACCAGAATCTCCGCTGCAGACCTCGGGTTCGATCCAGGGCAAGATCACATCATCACGATCTCGGAGCCACCTATAACACACGAATTATCACAACATGAAACGCTTCGCTCCGCCTACCCGCCCACACAAAGTCGCAGTTCCAGTGCTCCTGGATCACTGCCCTGGCCTCGATCATTCGCAGCACTATCATTTTTATCCACTTTCCGTCCCCAGGAATCGAACGCACGACCTTTCGCTTTCAACACTGCACTCTCAGCATAAGCATCCTTGAATTCAAATTCGTTGAGATCCCCCCATCTCCTGTTCATCTTGAATCCAGTAAGGCCGACCCCGCCAGCTCCAAACAGCACTGCCACACCAGCCGTCCCAACTGCTGCCAGGAACCCACTCGCTGATATGATCAAACCACCAACCGCCACCCCTAAAGTGCCAAGGCTACCCAGAGCCGTTCCTATACTGGCCAGGCCTGAACACAGAGGAAAGTCCAGAGACCCGCTCACCCTTCTACTACACGGTGGGGTCGAAAAACGGCGGCCCACCACTCGTGATTTATCACCCTTTAGTACCAGCAACCACCGCAGGCGCGGCAAGACCTCCAGTGAGAGCCAGTAGAGCCCCTCCACCCAATGCTGCAGCACCTATCTTCATCCTTCGTGATAGCCTTGACCTGAGGCAACAATAGGGAGTTGGGAGCTCACTGAGCCTCTATGAGGAGAAGTTGTATTTAACAATCGATGAGAGGGTAATTTCTATGACGAGCCCCTAATCAACAACGATGGGAATAGAACCAGAGTCGCATGAACATCATAACAGCAGTCTAACCACCGGACCATTCTTACCCGGTACTGGCCTGAACATGGTCAACTCCTGGCTGGACCCGATTCTCCAGTCGCTGCTGCTGCTTCTGCTGCTGTTGTTGTTCTCCCTCCTCTTCCTGTCCCCTCCTCAACGCTGCATTCAACTCCAATCCAACCTCACACTCCCAAGCCTCAATAACATGCGACGATATACCAAACGCCTTAGCCACCTCAAACAGCGCGCAACGAGTTCCTAAGAAGAACCCAACCTCGACGACCCCTCAAACACACATGCCCTATTACGACTATTATATATATGTTGCTTCGCTCCGCCCTCCTTCGACTTCTTTTTCCATCCCTTCTTTTTCGTCCTCTTCCCACGAGTTCCATCATCCCCAGCAGACCCTTCTGGCCCTCCCCCTAGGAGATTAAGAGTGAGGTCTCGCAAAAGCAAGGATACCTACGATACTGTCAGTAACAGCTCCAGGGCAACTCACAACGTGGGCAGCTACTCACCGACGCCTTTCCACCATCGATAGACATCAAATGTGTTACGAAGCCATCAGACTCGGGAGGTGGTGATCGCCATTGCAACTGAAAAAGTAAAAATAATAAACGCTTCGCTCCGCTCAAAGAAGTTTCTACTCCTCCTGGTAGGTTCATTTCCAGCAATTGAGTCAACGACCTGCTGCATGCATCGTCCGCATCTATTATATCCAATACAACCTGAGACATATCCAAAGGTCGAGCGTACAAGATACGGAATAGGTCCAATCGCTCACTACCTCTAATGACCACCGAGCCCACTTTACTACGGCCTTTCCCAGCTTCGATCCCCTATACTTATTTCTACCCCACTTCGTAGATGAGGAAGACGACGACGACGCCGCCTTCCTACTGGTATCCTGAGGGGCACGTTTCGAGACCCATCCCGACCTGGTAAGGGTCTCCTACATCGCCAATACTCTCCTCCTCCTCCTCCTCGTCGTTATCATTACCATCACTCCCTTTACACTCCTTCCAATCAGCTAGCCATCGTCGGGCTAACACGCTCACTACACATACCCATATACCACCCAGGCTCATCTTCATCTAAATACGATGTTCGCGAGGAGTGGTATGAACACTCTTCACCCAAAAATGTCAGAAACCAACGTGGAATTCGTTAACGCGACAACTGCGGAGCACCAGGCAAGCACTTTCCTTATTACATCACTTGGAAGGCTCCTCAGCATTTTCGTTCCCTCGAAAGTACTACTATCATTAGTCTCTCTAGCTTCCTTCACAGCGTCAAGTCTATTAGCTCTCAGATCGCGATACCTGTCCACGCTAATTGGCATTACATAAGCTATTTCATACCATAAAATCCCCTATCTAGCATTAATAATCAAAGTTCATCCGAACACCTCTCCAACAACACAGCCCCCGTATATACTCCCAGGCACTCTACAAGTACAAATGCGCCCAATTGCAATCAACAGTGAATCTGCTGCATCGATGCCTACACCATACTGCATTACCGTTTCCTCGCAGCTTTGACGGCCATCTTATGAGGTGAGGATAGCGTCGTACTTGCTACCACAGCCGTTGTCGAAGGTCTCTCCTCTTTTTCAGTTGATAGGAGACTTTCTCGCTCCTGTGAGGCCTAGACGGACGCCTCAATGAATAGAAGGACAAATGCCTGCCACACTCACTTTACGGCGTTTGCTATGTTTCCTCTTTCGAGTCGATTCAGGCGGAAACGGTCCACTAGCCTGCACATTCTGTTCCTCTGCTGGACTAGTCTCTGTAGCACTGTCCAAGTCAATCAAGTGCGCGTTCAAAGTGGTCGCACCAGGGTTCGAACCCGGGACCTCTTTCTCCTCATCATGGTCATTACTAACCGTTCCACTCATATCGACGAGGAATGACCATACAATGAAAAACAAGCCTACGATTAATCCCACCCAATCCAGAACAGCGACCTCAGCCACCCAACTTCACGCGCCACAAAATCCCTCAGAGACGTTTGTTTCCATCTTAGGTGTGCTTCGACTTCGCCGACTCATAATCTTGCTTATACATTTTGATCGTCTTGTCGCATTCCCCTGTGATCAGCCTTTCTCCGGATCTACACACAGTCACTCGTGGGCCATACCACTCCTTTTCCAAATCTCTTCACAACTTACTGATCGAAAGCCAAAGCATATATACTCCTCTCACTGCTCATACTCCCCGGCTGAGGTGGTGTGTTGATGTCCTGGAAGATTTGCCCCGAGGCCCAATCCCAGAACAGAAGGTGACCCGCATCCGTGCCCGCCACCATCACAGGCGAGTCCTGACAAATAACCATCAAACAAAGGAAATAATAAATACGCTAACAGTAACGCGCCGAGCACAATATCCCCTGACCGATAATCCGCACAGGTTCGATACTCACCCCCTCATCTCTGATCTTCAGACAATGCATCACTGTACCCGGGATGTTATGATCGATATTACGCTCGAAGACTCCATCGGGCGATCTCCACACCTTGATCTACACAAAGGAGACACCCTTAACCAGGCCATGTTGCCGAGAGCTCAGCCTACGTGATCTGCTGCTGCTGATGCAAACAGCGGTAGCCGAGGATGGACAGCCAATGCTCTCACACCCTTCTTATGATGAGTAAGTGTAGCTGAAGTAAGATACCACCATTCACAGCGCACAGCGAAGATTTCGCGCTATACAAACCACAACCCATCAGCACCACAAACTCCAATAAAAAGATGTGCCTCTCGGGGATCGAACCTACGCCCTTCTATCAAGTACTACTTCGACATTTGCCCGCCTTCAAATCCCACAGCCTGATCGTCGTGTCCATCGAACCCGATATGATTTGGGGTTCCATCTGCTGTGACGCCAGACAGTTCACTGTACTGGTGTGGCCGCCCAAGACGTGTATTGCGTGCTTCGTCCGAATATCCCAAACCCTGAATCATCAACATCAACAACCATTACTAAAGATAAGAACGACCCGCACCCACCGACCTGACAGTAGCATCGCGACTGCCGGTGAACAGAACGTCCAAAGTTGGATGAGTCTCCATGCAGTACACACCGCTCAAGTGGCCGTGATAGCTTCTCACAACCTATACAGGACACCATAGATAGCCATCGATTCGGATAAGGAAGAGTACCGTGTTCATCTCCAGATCCCAGCACTTTACCATATTATCCTCGCCGCAGCTGAAGAGGTACTTCAACCTCGGGTGCAGCTTGAGACCGCGGATGTTATGTATATGACCAGTCAAGGTCAGTTTCAATGCGCCTAACAATATAACACCTGGCTGGATCGAACCCGGGTCACCAGCACGTCAGGAAACGACATTAACCACGACACAATACAGGAACTGCTATGTCTACTCTTCCCTACTGACAGCTCCTCTATTTCCATCTCAGTGTTCCCCGAGAAGTTCGAGCACACTGACGCCCACGAGTAAAAACGTTCTCCCTACCCCTTCTACCTGTTGCTAGGTCCCAAACCTTGATCATCTTATCATTGCCACCACTCACGAAGAACTCATTACTAGGATCAACATCCAAAGCACGCACCCAACCCTGAGACCACTCCAACATACTACCCAATGGCAATCCCCCTGTATGACCTGATGGCCCTGCACGACCCTGTAGAGCTTCCAATCAGGATGCCATTGCTGCTTTGGTCGATGACGACCGATATTCTCATTGATCGCCAGAATGCCCTTAGCCGCCGTACCAGCCGTTCGAATCACCAAACGGCTCTCTCCGGGTAGCCTGTTGATCCCTACACAAGAACCTCTCACGCTTAGGTCACCTCCCCCTCCCATTACTACCTTGTGACGCCACCAACGCTGTGCTCGTGGTCTTCACTGCAGATGCTTCCTGCATCGGTCCAGCAGGGGCAGCAGCCGCACCAGCTGTTGGCAAATTCAACACGCTCATTTTCTGACCCATTTTCGTAACCGACAGGTCGACTTTGCTAAAATTGTCTTCAAAGATTCTCCTCTGCTTAGCCTCTTTAATCTCCGGAGGGGAGGCCACATGATGCGGATAGATGTCCTGAGGCTCCGGCCCAGGCCGCCACAGCTCCAAAGTCCGCTTTTGGTTCAGTCTGACCAAGTCGGCGAACTTCACTTGACTATCAGAAGCGGCCATAGAGGTGCTAGAAGCCATGGACCAAGTTATTGAGTATACTGAGGAATTCTGCACTCCCCCTACATCTCTTGCTGAACAAACCAACACAAGGTCTACATATATTCGACTTCAGGAATCCACAAAATCGATAAGAATTTCCATGTGCGAGTGAAACGCGGGAAGCAACGATTTACGATTATCCTGTCACCCTACCACAACTCAAGAAACCGCAAGCTCCTGGAAAACACACTCTTGATCAATCAAGCAAATCATAACCCTGTCCAGATGAAAAGGTGTTCACTCCAACCCAGCTGCACTACAGTCCCAAAGATTTCCCTATACACTACCTACCCCTGTCTCTACAACGTGCACTCTGGCATGCTTCAACAGTTCAATAACAACCATACCACTACTATGGGAAAGAGATAGGAGTGCTCAGAAATTATACGACTCCATCACAGACGAACTTCTCCAGGAGGGAACGATTAGACAACATAACTCATAGTTGCAGTGGGAGAGGATATGCATGTGCTCAACTACATGAAAGTGCTGAGGGAATTTTAGGCAATTCTTATTCGTCTGCGTACACTTCTACCCGAATTCATATGTAAACCTCGATAATTAGCGAGGAAACTCAGGAGCTCAGCCGAGGAAAGCAAACATACATTCCTCCACCACTAAATAGCTAACATTCTGTCGATCAACTCTATAGAATGCAACCCAAGCGACAGATCAAAAACTAGGAGACTACGTTTCATCACGCCACCTACACACTACCCTTAAACTCAAGTCAAGTGAGTGCCCCACATTACTTGTGAGACTACCTCCAGACACTAGGAATCCATAAACGACCCAAAAAGACAACAATAACCTACCCATACCTGCTGCTGTTAACTACAGCCCTATTAATGAACACCACAATGCGCGTAATCCCGCACCTCTATAGAAAGGTTACCGCCAAGCCTAGGATTAAATCTTCCATCGTGGCCGAATGTGGGTAGTAATAGTCCAATCAAAACTACAACAGGGGAAGGCTGCTTAAGCCTGAGGGCCTCAACCTCACGACC